GGCTTCTCCTCGCTCCCCGGGGCAGAGCTGCGGTAGGAGCCCCTTCCCCACGGTCACCGCGAGCAGCACATCCCTTCCTGCGCTGCCTGCGGGCCGGGCGCGGTGCGGGATGTCCTTTCACCGTCGGTGCAGCCCTGGGAGTCGAACGTGGCTCCATTTTCGGGATGAGGAAACTGAGGCCCAGGGCGGTCAACTGGGTTGCCCAAGACGACACGGCCCGTGCAGGGATTTGGGCCTCCACTCCTTGGGTTTCTCAAAATGGGGCCTGAGGCCCCCGTGCCAGTCTCTGTGGTTGGCATTTTGAACGGGCCCCGCGTGATTTTTACGCAGACCCTCGAGGACAGTGCCCCGCCGGCCCTGTGGTGGCCGGGCTCCCCAGCTCCCTCTGAAGCCCCCACTTGTCTGGACGAATGGGACACTCGGAGGTCCCACGAGAGTACCTGGTGTCGGTTTTCATCTGAGATTTCCTCTTTTCCTTAGCGGGGCTCACAGCAGTTGCTTAATAAATAAACCAGGAGCAGACCAGGGTTAAGGGTAGACTGGGCTCCTCCTGTCCCGTCTCTGTCAAGCCCTGGGGATGGGCACCCCTCCTGGAGACTCGGCACCCCTCCCACCCAGGAGTCCTGTGGGGGAGAGGGGGGCACTGCCTGGTTTTTGCCCCCAGCTCCTGGGATGCAGCAGGTGTTGGATATGTGTTCACTGTAGGTCCTTCCCAGATCCCAGGCTGGGGGCAACCTCACCCGTGGCCAAGACTTGCCCAGTGTGATCTTGCTAAAGCCCATGGGCATTGTTTCTTTTTTTTTTTAAATATTTTTATTGATTTTAGAGAGAGAGAGAGAGTAAGAGATAGAAACATCAATGAGAGAGAATCGTGGATAGGCTGCCTCCTGCGTGTCCCCTGCTGGGGACTGAGCCTGCAACCTGGTCAGGGCACATGAACAGTGACCTCCTGGTTCATAGGTGGATACTCAACCATTGAGCCACACCAGCCAGGCAGAGGTGACATTTTTGAGCCAAGATTTGGTTGACAAGCAGGCGTCAGCCATGCAAGGCAGAGAGAAGAGCATTCCAGGCAGTGAAAATGGCAGGTGCACAGCCCCTGAGGTAGGAGACTGTCTGGTGCAGTGGTCGGCAAAGTGCGGCTCGCGAGCCACATGCGGCTCTTTGGCCCCTTGAGTGTGGCTCTTCCACAAAATACCGGGCCACGCATGGGCCACGAAGTTTCAATCGCACTGTACATGCACGCCCACACATGGTATTTTGTGGAAGAGCCACACTCAAGGGGCCAAAGAGCCGCTGCATGTGGCTCGGGAGCAGCGGTTTGCCGACCACTAGTCTGGTGTGTTTGAGAATCAAGAAGGCCAGCAGGGCCCTAACTGGTTTGGCTCAGTGGATAGAGCGTCGGCCTGTGGACTGAAGGGTCCCAGGTTCCATTCCGGTCAAGGGCATGTACCTTGGTTGTACAGGAGGCAGCTGATTGATGTTTCTCTCTCATCGATGTTTCTAACTCTCCCCTTTCTCTCTGTAAAAAATCAATTAAAAAAAATATATATAAAGGCCAGCAGGGCTGGAGTAGGTAGGACAAGCAGGGGGAGAGAGAAGGAGGTGATATGGGAGAGGTGGGCCTGGGCCAGATCGGGCAGGCCTTGTTTGCTGTGGCAGGACTTTGAATTTTATTTTGAATGTGTTAGGAGGCCGTTGGGTGGGGAGCCTGTAGGGTGGGGGTTGAATAGGAGAGGGGCTCGATCTTGGTAGTGTAGGAGTAGACTGAGGTAGGGGACGAGAGAGCAAGCAGGGAGAGCTCTGAGGAGCCATCTCAGCAGTCCAAGCAAGAGGTGGGTTGTTGTTTTTTAATCCTCACCCGAGTGCTGGGGTCCAACCCCAGCAGGGCCAGGGGTCCCCAAAGATGTGGACGGAGTCGGTGAAGAAGGAATGACATGGAGACAGTGTTCAGTTGATCAGCAGCCTAGCCAGGATCTCCAGCCAAGTTCTGGTCAGGATCTCCAGCCAAGTTCTGGTTAGGATCTCCAGCGAAGTTCTGGCCAAGTTCTGGTTCCACTGTCTAGGTCAGTGATGGCGAACCTATGACGCGTGTCAGAGGTGACACGCGAACTCATTTTTTTGGTTGATTTTTCTTTGTTAAATGGCATTTAAATATATAAAATAAATATAAAAAGTATAAGTCTTTGTTTTACTATGGTTGCAAATATCAAAAAATTTCTATATGTGACAGGGCACCAGAGTTAAGTTAGGGTTTTTCAAAATGCTGGCACGCCGAGCTCAAAAGGTTCGCCATCACTGCTCTATCCACTGAGCCAAACCAGCTAGGGCGAGATGGCTTTTTTAATACCACACACCAGAGACCGAGGGTGGTGCCTGGCACACAGTAAGCACTACACATAGTAGCCATGGCTGTTTTTTGTTTAAAACTTTGGAATCAGGCATAACTGGGTCCTCCCCGGTCCCCCCCCCTCCCGTTAAGCTTTTTTTTTAATTTTTAATTTTCTTTATTGATTAAGGTATTACATGTGTGTCCTTATCCCCCCATTGCCCCCTACCTCCCCCGCTCATGCCCTCACCCCCCTAGTGTCTGTGTCCATTGGTTATCCTTATATGCATTCGAATCAAAGTCCTTTGGTTGATCTCTCCCCCTTCCCCCCACCCTCCCGGCATACCTGGATCTTACCTTGTCTGGTGGCTTTAGCCCTTCATGGATGGGTGACTTTGAGCAAGTTACTTAACTTCACTCACTGAGCCTTAGTGTTGTCAGTTGTAAAGTGGGTAGAACAGTGTCACATCACAGGGCTGCAAAGAATGTTAACACAGATAAAGTACAGATGCAGAGTTTTGGGAACAGGGCCTGGCTTATGGTTGGTTCAGTATTTTTGTTATAATCTCTAGCCAGCAACCGGAGAATAAAAAAGGGATAAATGGGCTTGAAACTCAAGAGTAATCCTTGAGGGATTTTTTTGCTAGCTCTTACCTCTAGACCTACAAAAAAATGGCTGAGGGTCTACTATGTACCAGGCACAGGGTCTAGTTTGGGTGCTGGGAAGACAGCAATACTAGTGATAGTAACGATAACACAGACCATAGCTAACACTTATCCACTATTTCACAGTGTGTAGTGATTAAGATATTACTAGCTGAGCCCAGCCAGCGTGGCTCAGTGGTTGAGCATTGATCTAGGAACCAAGAGGTCACGGTTTGATTCCCAGTCAGGGCACATGCCTGGGTTGCGGGCTCCATCCCCAGTGTGGGGCCTGCAGGAGGCAGCCAATCAATGATTCTTTCTCATCATTGATGTTTCTATTTCTCTCTCCCTCTCCCTTCTTCTCTGAAAAGCAATAAAAATAGACTTTTAAAAAAGATATTACTAGCTGATAGTAAAACCCAGAAATCTCTAAGGCTCAACACAACAGAAATTTATTTCTTGCTCATGAAAAGCCCTGTTGGGTATTTGGCAGGTGGCTTTCTACATGGTGACCCAGACCCCTTCCAGCTTGTGGCTCTGGCCTTGGGACCTCAACATTATTTCCTTCTAGCTGGTGGGCAAGCAAGGAGACACACCATTCCTCATGGAGGATTTTTTAAAAATGTTTTTATTGATTTGAAGTGAGAGAGAGAGAGAGAAATACATATTCACATGAGAGAGAAACATCCTATCGGTTGCCTCCTGCATGCACCCTGGCCGGAGATTGAACTGGCA